CTTGGAGCGTCGCGAAGGGAGTTTTTGTGCGCGTAGAAGGGTGTACGGATGAGATTTCAATAACGGATCCGTCGCGAGAGAGGCTTCACGCGCACACACACACACACACACACGAGTCGATCCTCCCGAGCACGATCGACGAGCGAAACGAGCGGCAGGATCGCGTAACAAACAATTGATTTACTTTTCGGGTATCGCGAGCGCGATCCGGCGCGCTTACGTGTCAATTGAAATTTCTATTGAAATCGAGTTCACTCTTGAAATTAACGATATAATCAAGTTCCGCGGGAATATTCGGCGCTTGGTTTCGGCCGATGTGATTAACGAGAAAAATACAATAAAAAAAGCGCAGGAAGAGAGAAATCAATCGGAGCGGATTCAAGCGGCCGGGCCGCGCGTCGGGCCGAGATAATGAATTAATTAAGTGATCAGTCGGTCAATCAATCAATCGAGCAATCAGTCGATCGCGGCGCGTCAAAAGTCGCGGCGCGCGCGCGCGCGCGAGCGAATCCTCTCGCTCGCGCGTTCGCACCCTTGTCACAGCGAGGGTGAGTGGAGACACATCGAGGAAAAAAAAAGGCGCGCGTCCGTCCGTCGCCTTTTCCGCCTCTTCTGCCGGCGCGCGCGCCGAGAGAAAAGCGAGGCGAGAGTGCGCGAAGCGAATGCCCCCGCGACGCTTTTGTGTATGAACCCGCTGGTGCGTTTACGCGACGGGGCGATGCGTGTGCAGCGGAGTAAATCAAGTAACATTAACGACAACGATACTGTATGTTTAAGCGCGAGGTGGAAAATTCAACTCGTCGAAATTGCGCGAATGAAACGTGGTCGCGCGCGCGCGTGCACGCACACGCTATCTGTCTGCCTTTCTATCTATCTATCTCTATCTCTATCTCTATCTCTCGGTCTCTCCCCCTTCAACCCTTCCCCCCCCCCGCCCCCCACTCTCACCCACTTTCCCTCTCTCGAGCCTTCGACACACACGCTCGTCGCCGTGCGTTTGTACGCTCGGCAAGTAAGAAGAAAAACGAGCGTGAGCGGCAAATTGTCTCTGCTTTTTGCGCGACGACTTGTTCGCGACGATCGATAAGAGAAGTTGCGCTCGCCTCGCCTCTCCTCTCTCATCTCCACCGTGTCGTACGTTTCCAAAGTGCCGTGACACAGATTTTAATTTTAACAAGCGCGACCGTCGCGCTACGTCACATCAACGACAATCCGCGAGCCGCCCGATCCGCGCGCGAGCGTCTCGTCGAAGCTCCGCTGCGCGTCGCGTCGCGACGCGTTATCGCCGCGGCGTTAATCGCGCAATGTGGTCCCGCTCGAAAATTACTGATGCACATTTGTATGCATTCGATTCGTAATAGCGATGAGAGTCGGACGCGACCGCAGAAATATGAACGGTGATCGACCAGAGGGAGAGAGAGAGAGAGAGAGAGAGAGAGTGACGTGACTCGTCTCGCGAAAGCGTTACGAGCGCGCACTTGCGTTCGCAAGCGTTCGCGCGTTCCCCGTCGACTTTCTTCCGCCGTCGTCACGCGTAAACGCACTCGTGCACCCACACACACACGTGTGTGTGCGCCTTTGCTGCGTGTGTTCGCCCGTTCGCCCGCGCGCGGTCGCTCGCGTTGAAACGAGGCTCTCTTAACATCGACGACGAAACGCGCTCGTACACGTGCACGAGGAGCACTTGGGATACCTAAAGCGGAAATTCGAGGTGTGTACGTGGTTGCGAGTGTATCTGCCGTGCGGCGCCTTGGGCAGAGGGGGTTGAAGGAGGGGGAGGGAGCGGGTGCAGGCGGAGGTCGGGGCGGCCGCTCTCTCTCTCTCTCTCTCTCTCTCTCTCTCTCTCTCTCTCTCTCTCTCTCGGGGGGTTGGAGGGTGGCGTGCAGGGTGGTATGATGACAAAACATTCGCTCTGAGCTTCCGCAGGGGTTCGGGGCGCGGGGGGTGGCTCGATGTACAGCCGAAGGGGCTTGGCGGTGGTGTAGGGCGGCGGGGAGGGCGGGGGGTGCCTAGGTTAGGTTCGCGGCTGCTCTCGGGGGCTGGGTGGTTGCGCGGGGGTGTGGGGAAACGTGAGCGCCGGGCGGAAAGAGACCTCCATCCACCAGCCTCACCCTCACCCTATTCCACCACCTCCTCCTCGTCCTCCACCTCCTCCTGGTTCCTCTGTAAGCGAGGTGAGGTTGTACGGTCGGCTCGCGTCGTTCGTGTGAAACGCGCGTGTACGTGTGTATCTCGCGCACGGACGCGTATGGTCGCGCGGTTGTGTACACGAGTGTTACTACTCCGTGTACTACCCTCGGCGAGTGTGTGGAGAACGGGTGAAGGGTGAGAGAGCAAGAGAGCGAGGGAAAGGGGACGAAAGCGGGAGGGCGAGAGGGACGGAGATAGGAGACAGATAGATTGAGTGAGAAAGGGAGAAAGTGAGAGAGAGGGAGAGAGAGAGAGACAGAGAGGGAGAGAGAGAGAGAGAGAGAGAGAGAGAGAGAGAGAGAGAGAGAGAGAGAGAGAGAGAGAGAGAGAACGAGAGTGAGCGAGCGAGTGAGAAGGAGAAAGAGACAGGGAAGGAAGGGGGAGACAGAGAGGGCAAGAGAACACGGCGACGAGGCGAGGAGGTTTATATCCATCATTTTGTATTTCTCACAGACATAAAAATCTATACCATCGCCACCCCGTCCGCCCACCAGCACACCGCACCACACCACACCACGCAACATCGCGCCGTTTCGCTTCGCGCCAGAGCTTCGCGTCCCTTCGCCGACCGACCAACGCTTTCACCACCCATCCGGGCACCTTCTCTCCCGCTTCTCTCTCTCTCTCTCTCTCTCTCTCTCTCTCTCTCTCTCTTTCGGGCGCGCGCGCGCGCACGACCTACCCCCCGGTGTTCCACCTCCCCCTCCCCCCCCCTCCCCCGTTCCATCTCCCGCGCCCTACGTCGGAGAGCCGAAGCCTGGTTGTGCACTGAGAGAAAGAGCGAGCGAGAGGACGAAAGAGCGAGCTGCTCCCCGCTTCGTCTCTCGCTCCGCTCTGCTCCGTCACCCCCGCGTCGCTGGATGGATGGATGGGGTTGGGCTGTGGGGGGGTTGCGATGGGATGAGGCGGGGGTGCAAATATCGTATTTATTGTATGACGGGTCCGCGTATCCCGAGCTAACGCCTCCTGTCAGCCCACCTCCTCCCAGCCCATCGAGAGAGCGCGTCCCTTCCTTCTTCCGATTTGCTCGCTCTCTCTCTCTCTCTCTCTCTCTCTCTCTCTCGCTCTCTCTCTCTCTCCCCCTCTCTCTCTCTCTCTCTCTCTCTCTTTTTCTCGCGTCGCTGCACCTCCACCCTCGCGATGCTCCCGATGTGAACGTGTGTATGCGCGCGTTTCGCACCTTTCGAGAATGCTTCTTTCGCTCTCTTTATGACGCCCGTTGTACTCGGACCGCCCGAGGTCGGGCCCTTTGCCGACAACATTCGCTCGCTAAGGGAACGTCGTCCTCGTTTTCGTCCTCGTCGTCGTCGTCGTCGTCGTCCTCGTCGTCGTCCTCGTCCTCGTCCTCCTCCTCGTTGTCGCCGCGGTGACTCTTTGTAGTACAATCGTTTGACGACGTGGATCGTGTTATCATTGGCACTCTTTTGTACTTTCCTTCTTCCTCCTCCTCCTCCTCCTCCTCTTTCGCCGTTTCCTCTCTCCTTCTCTTTTCCTCCCCTCGCTCCACTCTCCTCTCCTCTTCCTTCTCCATCGTCCTCCTCACCGTCGCTCGCTCCTGTCGCGTCTCGCGCTCGCCGGAGGTAATTATGAATACTGTTCAAAGCGAGGCGGGCAATAAGGACGCGCTGATTGAACGTTTAATAGGAGGTTTAATATCGCGCGCTCGGTGCCGCTCGCGCTGCTTGGCATAACAACAAGTGGATTTACGGCGCGACTACTCGTTGGCTCGCCGCGCAACAGCGGAGGCGCGAATATTCGTTGTCGGTCGCGGCCGCGAGCGCGCACTCCAACGATCGTTCGTGCTTTGTTGCGAGTCGATGGTAATTCGCCTTTTATCGGATCACGAAGGCGGGTTTCGAGCGTCACGCGCGAATTATCCGCCGCGGCCAAACGCGTCGCTATTCTTGAGGCGATAACGATATCATTGTATGCGGATATTATATGCGCGCGCGTGTGTGTGTGTGTGTGTGTGTGTGTGTGTGTGAGACTTTGAGACTGGACGTTTGGCTGTGGTGCGGGACGTCGCGTTTCTCTCTCGTCTCTTTTCCGCCCGCGCAGCGCAGGGAATGCGAGAAACGCGAAAGCAGGATCGAGTCATCGGAACGGAGTGCGCGAAAACGCGCGGACTATGATAATTCGGGTGATAAAAGCGCGCGGTAATTGCGAGATAACAGAGAGCGCGGGAGAGAGATCTGTTGGCGACTGCGCGTCGCGTCGAGAAACGACTTCTGTCGCAAGACACGACGCTTTTAGTAAAACGCCAACGCCCTATACATGCGCGTGAAACTGCGTCGCTAGGTAGGTAGGTAGGTAGTAGTAGATAGGTAGGTAGGTGGATAGGCAAAGGGGTAGCAGGGACGAAGGGGAGCAGGGAACAGCGAAGTGCGGAGGACTCGGGGGGGGAGAGAGGGGTGTCTGTTGTGGATGTCAGAAGCAAATGTGGTTTCGGCGTGGAAGGAGCTTAAGGAGCCCGTAAATTTCCACGCTGCGGAAAAACGACATGCACGAGCCTGTTGAAATCCTCTCGCCGAGCAGAAGGTTCCCCCCCTCCTCTCTCTCTCTCTCTCTCTCTCTCTCTCTCAGGATTCCCCCCCCCTCTCTCTCTCTCTCTCTCTCTCTCTCTCTCTCTCTCTCTCTCTCTCTCTCTCTCTCTGCCTCGCCACCCTCTTTCGACTCCGTTTCTGCCTCTTCCCCTCCGCCCTCGCTCCTCTCTTCCTCATCCCCTTTTTTTTCCGCCCGCCGTCCGCCCGTCGCCGCCCCTTGCCCCCGTGCGGCTGTTGGCCACTTTCGAATTTAATTTTCGCACACAGCGACAACGCGAAAAAACACTTACGAGCTATCAGCGATTGCTAATGGAAGTCGCGAGCCGCGATCCGAGAGAGGCCGGAGAGCGGGAGACGGGCGATTGGGAGCGAGGCAGGCGCAAACTTACGCGGCCTGAGCGTGGCGAGATCGACGAGCTAAAGGCGGCGAGCGATATTCGCCGAGCGATCCTCGAGGTACGTAAAACGTCGCGCCGACAGACACCGAGAGCGCCGGCGGCGAGACGTCTCGGGACTCTCTAATCGAACACCCGCCACCGGTGCTCCGCAGCTGCGTTAACGACGTTCGAGCCGTCGGAACGGTAAACCGTGTAACAGTGTGTGTGTGTGTGTGTGCTCGACGAGAGCGGACAGGCGATTTCCGCGAGAGCGGAGCGCGCGCGCGTAGTCGCGAAATACCGCCGCGAAATACGCGGCTGCGTTTCTTTGCCCGATGAATACTTTATCGCCGGGAATTATTGTAATATTTGCAAATATTTGCGCCCTGTCGGGGAAACCCCCGTGGCGCGCGGTGTGCGTTTCTGTATTAACGAGGAAAGTGCATTGCAAAGAGAACAAAATATCGCAAGACTCGGTGGCTTTTTCTTTCGCGACCGAAGCGAAGCCCTCCAGCTGTCTCCGCGCCGCGCCGCGCGTCTGATCATAGCCGACTTGTATCACTTGACGAGCGACGGACGATCTGCCGGCGCGGAAAAATCGTGACAAAAATTGAGAACCGTGCATGCGTGTGCGTGCGTGCGCGCGTGCGCGCGCGAGCGAATGAGCGAGCGGGTGAGTGTTTATTCGTCGCGATATGCAGACTCGCGTCACGCCGAAAACGCGGCAAAAATCAACGCGAGTCTCTCGCGTCGGCAGATAAACACCGATCGCGCGCGGTTATATCGCAAAATTCCCGCGAGTCGATAAATTTCGCCATCGGCGTGTATGCCGCGATTAATGAATCATAATTGGTGGCAACGGGGAATCGCGCGCGGCAGGTAGGTGCGAGAACGGGGTCCGGAGGAGACGGAAGGCGGAAGCGCGCGAGGGTGTGAGAGAGAGAGAGAGAGAGAGACAGAGACAGAGATAGGGGGGGTAGAGAGAAAAAGAGAGACAGCAGGAAGGGGCGAGGAGAGCAAGGCGGGGGGTAAGCGGAGAAAGCGAGAAAAGGTGGCGGAATAAAAGGGTGGAGGCCGCAATGAGCTGAGCTTCCACGCTTCCCCTAATTACATTTTCATACGAACCGTTTTCCCCTTTATTTTCTCCTCCGCCCTACGACCATTTTTCCCGGAGCTAACCTCACTCCCCCCCCGGACCTTCTCCTTCTCATACCGCCGCGTCGTCCTCCTTCTCTCTGCTCCCGTTTCTCGTCAACGACCGCTACCCTTTTCTTCCGTTTCTTCGCCCTCGCGCTCGCCTTCGTTCTCTCTTTCCTTGCATCCCCCGCCGACCCGTCCCCCCAACCCCTTTGCGCCTTCTCGCGCTGGAAAAACGCTTTAATACGTTTTCGCCGCTCGTCACCGTGCGCGTGGAGCAAGAGAGCGAGAGAGCGAGAGGAGGGAAGCCGGCAGGGGGACCGAGAGACAGAAAACAAGAAAAATATCACCTCCAGGGCTCGAAACGCGTCAATTTCCGAGTCGCGCGCATTAAGGACGCATTAAGGGGACGTATTCAGCAAAGCGTGGATTCTGAGAACCGGCGCTCTCTGTGCGAGACGGACTCTGAGTTCGGAAGTTCGAAGCCGAGATTACTATTCTATTGAAGAGGCATACACTCGCCAAAGTCCGGCGTCAATTCTGAATCGACTCCCGGAAGCTGCGCTTCCGCACTGCGCTATCGTCATTAAGTGCACCGGCGATAAGATCATCATCGTTGATAATGACTTCAACGTTACGCAGTGCCGACGTCATCGCGACAATTTGTTGACCGTGTCAACGTGCTCTCTCTCTCTCTCTCTCTCTCTCTCTCTCTCTCTCTCTCTCTCTCTCTCTCTCTCTCTCTCACTCACTCACTTACTCACTCACTCACCCTTTTCTCGTCTTCTCTTTCGCCCTTTTTTGTATTTTGAAAGCCCCATATTCTCACGACAGTATTCTCCTGAAATAGAGGGAAAGAGAGGGAGAACGGGTGAAACACGGTTTTATCCGATCCTTTATTACTTTTTTTTTCTTTTTTTTTTTTACCACGAACGGCCACTTCTGATCTACCGCCGCTGTAGGAGACGAGCGATTTTTGCCGCCGGCGAGCCGAGCCCACCCTCCGTACGTCGCTCTCTCTGTCCCTCTCGCGTATAGCCTCCTCCGCGCGCGCGCAAGCGACATAATCGCTTTAATACATTTCCACTGTGTCCTCGCTTCGAAACATAAAAGCAGTCGCCCCCGTAAAAGTTATGGGACAATACCTACCGACGCGTCGTCGCCTTGGCCCGAATACACGACACACACACGCATATACACGCATGTGTGCGCACGCATATACACAGGAGACTACTCCGTCTCTCGTATTTCGTGTATCACCGAAATGCGCTCCAACGTCAACGCTACCATTTTGCCGCAACTGTCATGTGGAATATCATTTACCTTTTTTTCCCCCTTCGAATGACGCATCACGGAAAAATCGCTTTCGAGTCGCATCGCCCACGAACGCGAATTTACTGGCGCTCTCTCTTTCTCTCTCTCTCTCTCTCTCTCTCTCTCTTTCCTCTCTCTCTCTCTCTCTCTCTCTCTCTCTCTCTCTCTCTCTCTCTCTCTCTCTACGTACATACACATACCCACATTACATACACATACGTATACACACATTGCGAGATACGCGGCATGTGTCACGACTGCTGCTGAATGTAAAGGATTACGAAGCGACTTTTTGCAAAGAAGCAACTGAGCCCGCGTGGGACTTTCTTACGACGGTTTACACCGCACAGCGGGAGTGAGAGAAAGAGAAGGAAGGTCGGAATGTCAACGTGCAGATAATATCGCCGCTTATTCGTCGCGGCGGCGGCGGCGGCGGCGGCGGCGGCGGCTGCGGCGGATCTCACATGCGGCGCAACAGCCGCGAGCTCGCATAGTCGAGTAATTCCATTCCCGTCGAGAGTGGACACGCTGCTTTTCCCATTGTAGCCACTCGTTTAACTTTGCGAAAGTCAGCAAGCGTCTGTGACGAGACTACGAAGAGGAAGGGAGAAAGAGGAGGAAGAAGAAGTAAAAATAGAAATAGAAGAAGAGGAAGAGGTAGACGCGATGGGGGCGAGGGGGGATGGGCTGGGGAACGGAAAGCCTTCGATTCTTCTTTCGCTCTCGTGCGTTTGTTTACAGAGGACCCCGATAGAAGGTGGCTGGCACGGAACGAGGGGGTGAGACTCGGGCTGCGCGGGGCCGCGAAGGGGTCGGAGGGACCGTAACAGAAAAGTACGAAGGGTGGGCGCGCGACGCGAAGGGCGAGGCGAGGGAACTCGGAAGAAGAAACGAGCCGAGCCGTGGAGGAAGCGGCGCGGAGTGCAGGAGGAGGAGGAGGAGGAGGAGGAGAACGAGGAGGGCAAAAAAAGGATTCGAGGATTCTCGAGGCGAAGAGTCGAGTGGTTGGGTGGTCGAATAATAGAGCTGCCCTTAATACCGTCATCCCCGCTATCCCCGGGTTAAACGAGGGAAGAGGTCGGCGGAGGAAGTAGCGTCGCGCGCGCGCGAGAGAGAGAGAGAGAAAGAGGGAGGGAGGAAGGGAGGGTGAGAGAGACAGCTTGAGAGATGGAGAGAGGCCGAGATGGAGTGAGTAAGAGAGAGAGAGAGAGAGAGAGAGAGAGAGAGAGAATGACGGAGCGAGAGAAAGCGAGTGAGAGACGAAGGCGGGGAATGGTGGCACGGAAGAGAAGGACGTCGGGTTGCGGAGGGTAGAGGAGGCAGGGTAGGTGGCGGGACGACGGGGGTCAGAGGATGGTCGCTCGTGGTTCGTGTGCCGTCGCCGCCGGGTGGGAACCAGGAGAACGGAATAGAAGGGATGATAACATTTGTATCATATTTAACGCTAGAACGAGCGGGTTAAGGGGTGGAAGACAGCCTCCACCCGCCGGCCTCCTTCTTCCTCGTCTCCTTCGGTCTTCTCTCCCGCTCCTCTTGGTCACCCTTCTTCCGCCCCCCGCCCCTGTCCTCTCTCACAACCGCACTCCTCCGCCGCCGCCGCCGCCGTCGCCTCCGTCGCCGCCGTCGCCGCCACCGCCACCGCCGCCACCGCCACCCCTGAACGCTACCTCTCTGCTCTGCTCCCCCGCCCGCCCGTCCGCCCGCGCCCTCGCCAGCCCGAGTAATATACCACTGAAATCAATACCACCACACTGCCTTCTATTTACCCAGGCTCATCATCCGTACACAAATTTATTGCGTGTCCCTAGCAGCTCGGAACATCCCCTTCCCCCCCCTCCCTTCACCGCTGCCTCCGCCCCCGCCGCCAAGGATATATCGCGCGGCCAGATTGCGATTCTATAACCTCCGCCTGCCCTGCCGACTAATGTCGCGCGCGGCCCATTTAACACGCTGACGATCGTTTCTTTTCGGAAATCCGCCCGGCTATCTTCAGGCAAAAAGCTTCCCGATTATCTCGTCCCGCTGTCCGCCCCGCCGTCTCTAATACGGCCTCAAAAGTATCGATCGTTCGAGCGGATCGACAAACGGACGTGTTGTTCCGTCCGCTCCTTCTCTCGCGTCCAAGATAAACTCCTGTACGAATACGAGAGGGGCGGGAGGGCAGGGCGACATTGCTCGTGCGCACACGCGCACGTGCATCGTCTCGAAAATATCTCTCGGTTTAATCTCCAAATATGATCAACCGTTGGACGTAAGAGAGGATGTACCCGCTCCCTCTCTTCGTAGGCGCTCCGACAGAATCTATTGCAATTGGAGAGAGAGAGAGAGAGAGAGAGAGAGAGAGAGAGAGAGAGAGAGGGAGGAAAGAGAGAGAGAGAGAGAGAGAGAGAGAGAGAGAGAGAGAGAGAGAGAGAGAATCAGTTTTGGAACTCGAGGAAAGTGGCGTCTCCGAGCGCACTTGCAGCGAAGTGTCCGTGCTTGGAGGAGGCGTCTCGCAGACTCTCGATCATCCGCTCTCGAATCGTCAGTTGAAATGTCTCATCCCACCCACCCACCTCCCCCGCCCGCCCCCCTCTCCGCCGTCTGTAAGCGTCCGTGGCCGGCGGGGCGATTTCTCCCGGTCGGTGGACCGGTTGAGCGCGATTTATGCGCGCGCTGGGACGCCGGATAAAGATCACGTTAGACGGCACGCGGTGTTTAGCGAGGATTTTTTAAACACTCGCTGAATTACTTAAAACGCCGCCGGCGCGCACAGGTGGTTCCGTGCGTCCGTAAGCGACCCACGCCACACGCACACGCATACGCACACGCACATACGCACACCCGTACGCTCACCGTACGATCTCGCGTGCACCTTCTCGTACGTACGACGCGCGTAATGCATTGATGGGGCGTTGTACGCCGATATTACGTCATTAGGCAGGCAATGCTACTATCGCATGCCCTGCTTTGAGCTCGTTATGCGCCGCGTCCTGACGACGGCGGCGGTGGCGGTGGCGGCGGCGGCGGCGACGGGAGCAAGGAGCGAGCCGCCGTCGCTGCTGCTTGTACGAAGTGAAAGATAAGTAGTGTTACGAGATAAATGCCACATAAATTAGCCGTACGCGATATAAGCACGCTCGCGCACGACCATGCGCCACGACGGAGCGAGCGAGCGAGCGAGCTTGCATCACGTGAATGCGAAATTGCGGAAATAATAATGAAGCTTGTTACAGATATAATCGGACGCGAGATAAACGTTGTACGCGGCGACCGCGAACATTCTTACGTCCGCGGTGAAATTTATCCGCGATCGCCGCCAACTCCTCCCCCCCTCTCTCTCTCTCTCTCTCTTCCTCTCTCTCTCTCTCTCTCTCTCTCTCTCTCTCTCTCTCTCTCTTCCTCTCCCTCTCTTTTTCTCTCATTCTCGCTAATTACTCTCACGCGGTACACGGGCTATGTGTTTGAAAGAGACGGGAGAAGGAGGGGGAGAGGTTCCTCGGAGCGCCGTCTCGTTACATATTCGAGCGTCTATTTAATCGACATCCTCAAAGTGGCGGATCTCGACCTCGCGGATTTGGATGATGAATTTGCGGGCGCACGTCGATACGCGCGCGGCGCACATCGGAGCTCTATTAGTTGTCTCTCCGGGCATGCAGCGTCGACCCTAGAGCGAGAGTGAGAGAGAAGAGGGAGAGCGGGGCACAATCGGAGCGGCTGATGAGCGAGAGAGCCTCCGCGCGCGTGCGCGCGCGCGCCAAGTATCGAGATTAATAATGCATCCTCGAGGATGCGGCCGTCGCTGGTGGCGGGACGCGCTCGCGCTTCGCGCGAATATGGGTCGAGTTGCTGCTCGTCTACTTGGACGAAGGCGCATCAAAAGGTCGTTGATGTATACCGAGTAGTCGCTCGGCAGCCTGGCAGAGCGGCGGCTCTGCTAAATATGCGCGCGGCTGCCGGCCAGCCCCGACGCGCCGCCCTCGCTCACGTCGGGCTCTCGTTATCGTTGTCTCACACGTCGCTTCGAACTTTTCAGGAAAGCGACGCGGAGAAGAGCGATCAGGACTTGGTCGTCGACGTGGCAAATGAGGTAAGACATAGATAACAGCTAAGTAGACGCAGTAACCGCACTTTTTATCTCAGACGAAGGCAAGGAAAAAGGGGGACGGAGTGTGCCGGGGTGCCCCTTGGGTTCTCTCCCCCCCACCCCACCCCACTTAAGTCGATAGTCGTAGTTTGAAACTCGTCTCATGTGAGATGCTTAAATTTTTTAACGTTGGAGTTGGCGTGGAATTTTCCGTCGAGCCACGATCGTGTGACTCGTATCGTTTCATAAAAAGATTTTTAGTCAACATCATCCTTCTTGCAGCTAATCGTCGTGGATAATTAATAAAGATCCTCCTTCGATCCGTGATCGCGGATAAATAATCGAGTTTCTGGACTCCAAATTCAGGCTCAAGTTGCACGACTATTAAAGGGGTAACATCTGAGTGATGAGAACGCCTGAAAACACATGGTAAGTTTGGGAACTTTTTGTAGTTAAATAACGACATAGATGGAAAATTGGTTCGAAGTGGGTTGAAGCTCTAACGTGCATACCTTAAACTACACAAAACAATTTTTGTTATAATTTTACCTCAAGATGGCGGCGCTGAAGCTCTCCAAGTAAAAGCGCATTTTTCTCACGAGTCCCCGCGACTTGCAGCAGAAATGCCGTACACTTTCAAAAAGGACAGAAAGGCCAAATTTTTGTTAATCTATTGTTTTTTGTTGATCTATCTATATACAATACATTAAATTTGCTAAAGAAGTACACACGTTAAATACGTACATGTTAAAATATTGATTTTTGTAGAAATGGTAAACATTAGGAGAAATGTTTGTTTTATCCAAAAAATTGAGTGAAAAAATATTTATAATGACAAAAGTTTTAAGCCGATCGTAAAAATCATGTGTACTCCTCTAGAGAATTTAGTTTAGCAGCTATTGTAAAAATTTCGAGTGGATCGGATGAAATTTGTTAAAGTTCTGCTGCAAGCCAATTCGAAAAACGTGGTTTTACTTGGAGAGCTCCAGCGCCGCCATCTTGAGGCAAAATAATAACAAAAAATTGTCTCGTGTAGTTTAAGGTATGCACGTTAGAGGCCTTCAAACCAATTTTCCATCTATGTTGCTATTTAACTACAAAAAATTCCCAAACTTACTCTGTGCGTTCCCACTCAGATGGTACCCCTTAATTGCGATCGCAGATTGATATTGATGCGATTCGGCGGGAAAATTCTCAATGAACAAAATCTTGCCCGAGGCTCTCGTCGTGAATAACTGATAACAAGGATCGTCCTTCGATCCGCGATCGCGTGGGTGACTGATAAGGCTTCGATTGCGAATTCGGCTCGGAATATCCCCAAGTTTCAGGTCACGACTATCAATACGCTCCTTCGGTTTTCCGCGCGAATCCGTGTAACGTCGTATCTTTACGTAGACAATGGTGCTGGGCAATTTGCATAAATAACCGCTTCGCCCTCTCCCTCCCGAAGATCGAGCCTTCCGAGCGTCTCCAAAGTTTGACTGACGTTTTATCGGAGCGCGACGATTCCCTCGATCGACTCGCGCCGCGAGAAATTGATTTTAAAACGCGGCCGTCTTCCCGCTCAGCGGCTTCCTCCTTCCTCGCGGTCGGTCGCCGTCTCTCCTCACGGGGACTAAATCGTGCGTGCACACACGTGATCCGCGTGAAATAATGATAATGAAAGTTCCAACGTGCGAACGAGCAATCTCGCCGGAAGCGCGCTCGCCGCTTCGCGCGGGGAGTTCGACGCGCGAGTTCACTCGCGCGCTCGTCCCGAAACTCACCCGCTACCTCTTTCTAGCGATGGGCGAATATCGATCGATGAAACAAGCATCGATTCTTATTTCCTTGAAAAATCGATCAGATCAGACCGATACTTTTTGGGGCCGATTATTCCCTAGATCGATCATTTTTTTCGTCGATTATACTTTACTAGATTTATTGCCAAATTTTTATCACTGGGGAATTTGCTTACTACTGTTCAGGCCCGTCTACAACAGCTGCAAAAATAAAGCTGTAACAGTAAACAGTAAAAAATAAACTAACAGCAGTCGACTATCGTTGTCGAAGAACAACCGAATTTTAATTGAATTATTTCTTGTAGCTTACGCTTATAGCCTTATATTCTTATACAAGCTTATACTTTGCAGCCGTTGTAAAAGGGTCTTTAAGGTTTTAATAATATATTAATTTATTGTTGCAACATATAACTCCTCGCATTAATTAAAAATAATACTAGGATAACATCGATTATTATCGATATTTTTAAGAAAATATCGATTGTGTAAAAACGATCTTTTTGACAATCGATTAAATCTAAGACGATGCTTTTTTTTTTTGACAAAGCCCATCCCTACCTCTCTCTCTCTCTCTCTCTCTCTTTCTCTCTCTCTCGGCTTCCCTTTCTCGCCCTCCTCCTCCTCCTCTCTCTCTCTCTCTCTCTCTCTCTCTCTCTCTCTCTCTCTCTCTCTTTCTCAGATCTACGTTTGTTCGGCGAAACAGGAGGCGTCGTCGCCGCACGCGAACGGGGAGCACTCGGACCCGCGCGAGAACGGCACGCTGGAGAAGCTGGGCGCACCGGGTCACGTTGGCGGCGGACCGACATCGGGCGCGGGCTCGGCATCCGTGAAGGACAGGCCGCCGTCGCGCAGCGGCAGCTCTTCCGCCCGTAGTACACCGTCTCTGAAAAGTAAAGATGTAAGATCTCGCGGAGAGTAAGCTTATTCGGCGCTACGACCGGTCCAGTCGTGACTCCGTCGCGTCCCACCACCACGTCGGGAAATCCATCTCGGGACACTCGCGGGATGTAACGTAAAGTCGATCGCATCTCACATCTCTTTCTCTCTCTCTCTCTCTCTCTCTCTCTCTCTCTCTTTCACGCGCGCGCGCGGTACCCTCAGCTTGCCAGACAGCGTTCCTCCGGCGTTTCGAAGCACGAGACGCGAGCACACGGGACGGCCCGAAGAGAGCCGGCGCTGTTCTCCGGGCCGAGTTGTTTGAAATTGCCAACAAATTACACGTCGGACGAATGCCGCCCGACGGCGGGATCGACAGGCGAAGAACGCGCGACGGCGAAAGAAGAACCCTCGAGACGCGCTCTCGCTCCTCCTGCGTTTCGCAGCAGCGGAGCAGCGACGTGTCTGGCAAACTCCAAGCGGCTACCGTTCGTACGCGCCCGCGACACCCGCGACGACGATGGACCGACCAAATTGTAGTCGAATCTCGCGTGATCGATACACACCTCGGGAAGGGGCGCACCGTCGTCCGAGATCGGTCGCTTCGACCGCCGCGAGCGACCGGAGAAACAGGAGGAACAGAAAGAAGCAGCGCGAGCGTGTCGCGCGTTCTCTCGAGCGGCAGGCGTAGATCAGCGAAGATCGCAATCGCGGCAATCCGACGACTCTCGGACTCGAGTCCTCGATTGCCTCGGGCCTCGATTGCCGTGCGATTGCGATAGAAGTGAGTCCGCAAGAGTGTGGGTGCCAAACACAGCCGTGCGTTCGCCAGGTCGACAAGCCGGGTACACCTGTGGCGGCGGCGAGGGGCTCGCGCAGTTGTACGCCAACTATGGGCGGCATCCCTGGGCCCTTGGCATCGCGGGTCTATCATCCGCCATCGTCGCAGCAAACGCCACCGCAGGGTTATCAGGGCTTGCCATCCCGCGGCAATGAGCCGCCGCAGTCGCCCTCGCCATACAGCAACTTGCCATACGCGAGGCCCTCTATGGTGATTCACGAGCCCGTAACTCTTACACTGTATCACCCTTCTCTATCACCTCGCGTCTCCTCCGCCGTTCTCGATTTCATGTCCTCCGATCTCGCGCGTATGTATCTCACGAGCGTCGCCTCGCCTCGCCTCGCCTCGCTTCGCCTCGCCTCGCACCGCGTACATGAGGTCGATTCTCGGATCATCCGCGTCGCGCCAACATCTCGTGTGTGTATGCGTGCGCGAATGTGGGTGTGTAAGTGTGTATGTGTAAGAGTGTGTGAAACTGGAGGAGATCGTTGTGCAAACTCGCTCCGCTATTCGGAGCAATGACGCTCGCACGTTTTCGGCCGTTTCGTTGTTCGCGCCGCGCCGCGCCGCGCCGAGGGAATTTTTGCAGAGCGACTTCCGCCGCGCGTCCGCCTTCATTTATTATTCTTCCGTTTCTATGCGCTGTTTATGTCCCAAGAAGTGAAGCCCATTGTTAGAAAATTTACCGTGTTCCCGGGTGGAATTTGTCATGCTCCTCGGCGAGATCAGCTCCGCCGGCGCGGGCGGCGGTGCTGTCTATCGCCGAGCGCTGCGGCGAATAAAGAAAACGCGATAAACTCGAGAATAATTTGCATGAATAACAGAAAACAGAAGAGAAAAGGGAGAAGCAAGAAGGCTACAAAATATTCCCTCCGCGCGGACGATTGGTAACTGGAATTTCCGCGAGTCGCGATCGCACCTACGTAGGTGCGCGCGCGCGCGCGCCACCTCCTTTTGATCCCTCCTCATTGCGCTACCGAATGACCGTCTGACTGTTTCTCTCTTTCTCTCTCTCTCTTCCACAGCTCGGTTTCGACAGCCACATGAGGATATCCTCGAGTAACGGGCTGAGCAACGTGGCAGGCGGCAAACCGTACGTAGTCTCTCTCTCTCTCTCACACACACACACACACACACACACACACACACACACACACACACACACACACACACACACACACACAGCTTACGACGCATCGGCGGTCCTCTCGTGGATCGTCTCGTGATTAGTCTCAGATCCGTCAGAGTTCGCCGAACGTCTCTCTGACACTGAACACACACACACACACACACACACACACACACAGCCTCGGCGCGTTTAGGCACTCTCGCATTAGCCGTATATATACTTCCGCAGGGCGTACTCCTTCCATATGAACGGCGAGGGCCAACTGCAGCCCGTACCATTCCCCACGGACGCTCTAATAGGACCGGGGATACCGCGTCACGCACGCCAAATTAATACCCTGACTCACGGCGAGGTGGTGTGCGCCGTCACAATCTCGAACCCGACCAAGTACGTCTACACCGGCGGCAAGGGTTGCGTCAAAGTTTGGGATATCGGCCAAAGCGTCGGCAGCGCCAGCGTGAAACCAGTCTCGCAGCTGGACTGTCTGCAACGTGACAATTACATCAGGTGAGGCCCCGAGCGTGACCCCGTAGACCGGTTCGAACCTTGATAGCCGGCGAGGCTTGATTTCCGGCCAACTTGAGCAGTTCGGAGCGCGCAGTGCGCGCGTTCGAAAGGGGCGAGTGGAGGAAAGAAGAGTCGCGGCCGGTCGCTTTTCATTGTTCGTTACCATTGAGTTTGCGATGTTGTTCTTCATCATTTGTTATTCAGCCTTCGTGCCTACTAGTGCGATCCTCGTGGCGATTCCTCTTCTTTCCCGCCGCGGTTGGAAATTATAAGCAGTTGCTGCTGCTGCTGCTGCTGCTGCTACTGCTGCTGCTGCTGCTGCTGCTGCTACTGCTGCTGCTGGTCACTCGCGATGACCGCGATATCGATGAAGACGATCCGAGTAAGGAACCAAGTATCCTCCTTATGCGCAGATCCGTGAAGCTATTGCCGGACGGCAGGACGCTGATAGTCGGCGGCGAGGCCAGCCAGCTGAGTATCTGGGACTTGGCGAGCCCTACGCCGAGGATCAAGGCGGAATTGACCTCCTCAGCGCCGGCCTGCTACGCATTAGCGATCTCGCCGGACTCCAAGGTCTGCTTCAGCTGTTGCAGCGACGGCAACATCGCCGTCTGGGACTTGCAGAATCAGACACTGGTCCGGCAGTTCCAAGGCCACACGGACGGCGCCTCCTGCATCGACATCTCCGCCGACGGCTCGAAACTGTGGACCGGCGGCCTCGACAACACCGTGCGCTCGTGGGACCTAAGAGAGGGCAGGCAGTTGCAGCAGCACGACTTCACCTCGCAGATCTTCTCGCTCGGCTATTGCCCGACCGGCGAGTGGCTGGCGGTGGGTATGGAGAACTCGAATGTCGAGGTGCTCCACGCCACCAAGTCTGACAAGTACCAGTTACATCTGCACGAGTCCTGCGTCTTGTCGCTCCGTTTCGCCTCGTGCGGCAAGTGGTTCGTCTCCACTGGAAAGGACAACCTACTGAATGCATGGCGTACGCCGTACGGTGCATCAATATTTCAGGCGAGTACCGATGACGACGCGATAGCGACGTGCTGTTGACGATGGCGCGACATCTCAAGCTTATCGCGTGGGGAAATGCCAGGTTTGCCTCTCTGACGCAGCCGGGTCTGGTTGTTCTTCTGCCCGAGGAAGCGAGCCGCAATGATTCAGGGTTGAGCCAAAGAATGTTGACGAAACGTCAGGAACAAAAACTCGGCTTCGACTCGAAAGCCAAACCTGGCATGGCGATGATGACGACGACGACGACGACGACTTTATCGAGCATCGCGTTCGGATTGATTGATTCGCATTTGAATTTACCGTCGCGACTGACTCGCGCGATTTCACAGGATCCTTCCTTGTTAAGCGTCAGCCACACGAACGGGCATTTGAGAAAAACGGGATTGTCTAACGCGATTTACAACTTGAAACTGATACGCGCGCACGTGTCCCGATGTCGCTCCGCCTCGAGCTGTCTGGCAAAGTGTTTCTCTTCCGCCTCGGGCAATAGACGTTGCCCGTCGATTCAGCCGAGGAGTTCAGCCCGATCACAATAATTTATCGTCCCTTTTCGACCGAGACCGACCTCGTGAATCGCGTCAATTAGCGTCTCTCCGCCAGAAGCGGTACACATGCATGAGATACTTACGTTGCGCGAATTTTCTGTTGAACTTTACAGTCGAAGGAATCGTCGTCGGTGCTGAGTTGCGACATTTCCGCGGACGACAAGTACATCGTGACCGGATCCGGCGACAAGAAGGCCACCGTATACGAAGTGATTTACTAAGCCTGCTCTCATTAGAGAGAGAGAGAGAGAGAGAGAGAGAGAGAGAGAGAGAGAGAGAGAGAGAGAGAGAGAGAGAACAAAGAAAGATATATACATATATATATAGAGAAAGAAAGAGAAACAGAGAGAGAGAGAGAGAGAGAGAGAGAGAGAGAGAGAGAGAGAGAGAGAGAGAGAGAGAGAGAGAGAGAGAGAGAGAAAGACTCATATTTTCTCCCTCGACGACGTTCGAGCCTCGCACGTGGCTTTAATGCGTATCCTCTCGTCCGCACGGGCGGGAGGAGAGAGGGCGCCGAAAAGAGTTCTCCGACAGTGAGGTCGCCAGTAGCCTCGGGACCTTAATAAACGCGACCGGTAATTGTGTACATATATGCATACGGATCTACATTGTACGACGGAATTACGCTAGGAGATATTGGAAAAATATCGATATGTGTGCGTGTGTGTGTGTGTGTGTGCGCGCGCGTGCGTGCGTACGTGTATGCGTGTGCCATGCGTGACTGTATGAGAGAGAGGAACAACGGTGTATATTAATATCGCATGCGCGCGCGTCCTGATTTCGCGAGCGAGAGAGTGTTATTGCGGATACGCGACGATTATATAGGTTCGCGATTACGCGGACGGGACTTTTGTTTGTCGCGTGTTCACAACGGGAGAAAGAGAGAGAGAGAGAGAGAGAGAGAGAGAGAGAGAGAGAGAGAGAGAGAGAGAGAGAGAGAGAGAGAGAGAGAGAGAGAGAGAGAGAGAGAGAGAGAGAGAGAGAGAGAGAGAGAGGGAGGGAGCGAGAGGGAGGGGGGGGGAGAGAGAGAGAGAGAGAGAGAGAGAGAGAGAGAGAGAGAGAGAGAGAGAGAGAGAGAGAACGTGTGCCGATAGAACGAAAGTATGGCGAACGACGACGTTTGCACGCGCACCGGCGTGACGCCTTTTGCAAACGGTGATGTTAGATTTCGTAGCTGCCGTAAACACCGTAGGACTGTAACGCACGCCTAAAAGTGAATAGCTGCGAACGGTGTGCTGAGAAACAGAGCCGTGAGACAGAGGGAGAGGGAGAGAGAAGGTAAGCCATCATCGAGATTTAGTCTCTCCTAATTATACGCCGCGAGGAGAATATCGCGATTGCGCTTGAGGAAAGTTCTCCGCGTTCCCGTCGCCTTTCGAATGTATCCGTCGTACTTCTCTCCCGAGCAACAATGCGGGCGACCGTGAGACAATTTTCGGTACAATTTACGTTGTTGTCGACCGCAAGAGTATTATCGCGCGCCGAAAGGTCATCTCGATGTGTAACGCGCGCCGCGAATAATTAGAGAGTATCGGGCGGACGTTTACATCCGATTACAATCGGTTCAGTGTAACATCTCGCGTTTTCTTTTTTTTTCGGCCCTCCTCCCCCCCTCCCCCCAATTAAACGAAGGTACTCTCGCCCGTTGCATATCTCGAATATTTCGTAGGCGATTCGACGAGCGTGCAGCGGGGCGTAACGCGTTCTCCTCAGATGACGACGACGACGACGACGACGACGACGACGACGACGGCGACGACGACGTCGGCGGCGGCGTATTAGTCTACAAACGAATTACCTTTTTGCATCGTAAAAGTATAGCGATATACCTTACGTGTAATAATCGAATTTGTACGTGATAGCGCGTGACGCGAACGGGCGGACGAATCCCTGTACAGAATCCTCTTGTACATATTCGACGATTGTGATTAACGATTAGATTGCGTCGCGTCGCGGCGCGGCCGCAGCGACACGGCCGCGCCGGCGGACTCGGACTTTAAAATAATAATCAAGAGTAACGATATTTCAACTTGGCCGATAACAGCCGACCGGTGAGTGCGTGATAAATATAGAAAAAACGAAATCAAGACTTTCAAATACCGAAGAACAAAGACGCGCAAAGGCGAACTCGTCGAATTCCGACGATTAACGCCCAGGATGAGGTCGGGTATGCTTTCGCGAAGGATCCAGAGGGAGAATTGCGACCGACACTTGTCCGTCCCCGTGTGTTTCCCGTTGAATTTTCTCTTTCATATTTATCACGCGTTATCTCATCCAGCTTTCGGTTGTTCTCACGGTCAGGCCGTGAAATGTCGTTACTTTGAAGAATAATAATACCTATGTAAAGTACAACCCCGTGCACAATCGAAACAGAACTATTTCTCTACTTTAATTAGGCGACCACATACACACACACACACACACACACACACACACACACAATACACTCGCGACACACCAGCGCGGAGATCAATAGGGGCCGGATATATGGCTTCTCGTGGATATATCTTTACGTTGCGATCGCGACATCATTTTCTGTTTCCCTTTCGCAGCCGACACCGAGACACCGATATTAAAGGACATTTAATCGAACAAGTGAGTAACCCCCCCTTTGTGTCCGCCGCGATGCGCGTAAGATATACAGCGTGAAGCGCAACGAGCCCGCAAAGTTGCCGCTTTTGAGTGATCTTCGCCGGGAAGTTAGTCTCCGCGCCCTCGCCCCGCGGGGAGAGACGCTGCGCGAGTTAATAATCATTCAGGTGTATAAACTATCCGCCGTTACGAGTCTTAAACGCAGTTCAGATCTGTAAATATCATCCGAGATTCCGCTGGAGGAATACAATCGGCAATAATATTTACAGACATTTTATTTTCAACGGAAAAAGAAAACAGACGCGTTCATTACGTTCGGTCATATGCTGATCTGATCATCGATTGATGAATTGTTGATTCTCGTCTCCCGGGCGGATACGCCGAATGGAAAAGGAAAAAAATGAAAAAGATTCGATTGACGCATTGTACGCAGGGACGTAGATACGTCATGCCGATTAATGACGTATCCGCAAATCTCTCGACGAAATAAATAAGGAGTCTATTCCACATTTTTCCCCGACGCTGCATTTTTAGCAATAATAATATGTGACAATTGATACTACCGATCTCCTTTATTGTCTTGCCTCGAGTTCTCCCCGTATTCCCCCTGCCCCCCTCCCTGCCTCCTTTCTTTTGTTCGCTCCTTTTATTTCTTCCCTCCTTCGCCGTGGTGCGCGATGACGAGGGAGAATTGACGAAATCGCTTTCGTAACGAGAGAGCCCGCGCAACTTCTTGAAATGCGCCGTTGCGTGTCCAACGGTGTCCACGTGACGAATCGGTGACTCGCGTTGCTACAATCAGACATAATGCAAACTACAATTGTACCCGACGACTTACCAGTCATCGCGAGTCGGGTATCGCTCATTAGCAAACGCCGTGATAACGTTTTCCCACGTTTCTTCGTGCGATAAGTGTCAACGACGCGGCGGCGGAACTTGGCCGCACCGTTGATACACGCGCCTATGGAGAACGAAGGAGAGAGAGAGAGAGAGAGGGGGAGGGGGGAAGTCACTTCCAGATCCTTCCTCCGCCGCTGATCGCAGAATCAGTCAATGATCCCGGCCCGCGGTGCTCTGCTCGCAGAAGGGGGAAGGGAGAAGAGAAGGGGAGTGTGGAGAGAAGAAGGAGAAAGTAAGTACAACCAGATATCAATTCTCATGTTTTTGCTTCTTCAATAATTTCTGATGTATTTACATTTTTACGTGTAATCCGTGTGTACAAGATCGTTAAAAACATTAAATGTTTATGCCCGCGTTTATGATAATCTATCCATGTATATATTTACACGTTCCTCTCTCCGCTGTGTACAAGGTCGTTAAAAACATTAAATGTTTACATATTTTTCTTCTCCTCTTCGCCTCTTCCAAGTCTACCACCTTACTTTTACGCTCTCTCGTGTCCGTGCGCTCGAGATCATCACCTCGAGGTCGCTCCGAATTCTCCGCTCCCTCTCTCTAGGTCTGTTTGGGTTTTAACTGCACCTTCATCCAACCAGTATTCTCTGCGTTTCAAATTAGATAGATATACATTGTTATTATTCGGACATTGGGGCGAGAAAGAGCGAAGAAGTCAAGAAGAGTGGCTAAAACCGAACGGACCTTTCTTCTCGTCGTCGATTCGTCGTCTCTCTACATTATACTATCCCCTCTCTCTCTCTCTCTCTCTCTCTCTTCCCTCTTTCTCCCCCTCTCTCCGACGTATATCGCCGTTACTTATGTACAGGTAGAAAATTCTAGTAATGTCGTTATCACACGGCATTACAAGTGGATATTATACACATCCGTCCTTCACACAGGTGATTCGTACATGCGAACGTTCCGTATTCTCTTTCTCTCTCCCTTTCTTTCTGGTGCATTTTTCTCGTATATTTACTCGATCATCGCACTCCGAGATATGATCAAGGAAAGTGAGAGAAGAAAGGCGATGAGTCTGGAGGGTGCTGAGTGATACAAAGATATAACGGGAAGTGTTCAGAATTCTCGAACCCGGCCACGCGCACGTAACGTAAATGCGTCTCTTTCTCGTTTCCTCACACGCGCACGAACACACACACACACACACACACACACACACACATACGCGCGCGCGCGCATTACATGACATTTACACTTTTCTCTCTCTTTCTCTCTCTCAATCATGTGTATATATATATACAATCTAGAAAATACATAATGCAACTTACTTTTAGGATAACCAATTTTACAGGAAATGTACATTACAAGTGAATGGTGGTAGTTTTTTTTCACGCCTTATCTTCGGGACGTAAGTTTTGCCAAGACCCTCGACGGGACTGTACTTCTATCCTTTTTTTATTTCTTTCTTTCTCTCTCTCTCTCTCTCGCGCGCGTGCTTACGCGGAAGGTCGTCTTCTGAGACTTTTCAGGGAAAAAACACTCGTCTCGTATGCGGCATGAGGCGCGGGGAAATCAATTGAATATCATCGAGAATATCGTGCACTTTTACAATAATAAAACCGATGTAACGCGCGCGTTGGTCGGTACACCGTGATTTCTGCGACTCAATTTCACCCTATACATACGTACATACATACATACATACATACATACATACATACATACATACATACATACATACATTCATACATACATACATACATACATACATACATACATACATACATACATACATACATACATACATACACATACACACACATGTGTGTATGTATATATATCTATCTATCTACAAATATAAGAGATGTAAAAAGCTCACATAGAAAAATACAATACAAATCGTATTACGTCGCGTTTCACAATCACAACGAATCGTTAAATCGCTCTAGTAAAATTCATAACAAAAGAGAAGAAGTTAATTTACTCGAGGAGGACTGTCCGATGTCTGAATCGCTCCAGTTACTTTAAAGCCGACAATCTTCCGTCATGCAGAACATTTGTAAAAAAGAGGTATCCCTGCGTCCTCGAGGATGATTGTGCTTCTCACTTAAGCGCAGTTCGCCAACCGAATATGCTTGGTCGTAAAATTGTACGCTTCTCGCAGAGACTCGGCGGATATCGCGTTTCGTCGGCCCGGGCGAGAGGCCTCCCAATTCTGGAGAAGGAGAGGGACTGATATAATTCGAATACGAACTGCCGTTTGGGAATTACGGCAAAAACGCATACGCGTCCACTCGAGCGCGCAATCACACTCCGAGAGGGGAAAAGAAAGTCTTACGGAGAACGGAACGAATTCGAAGATCCGAAAGAACGAGAAGAAGAAAAAACAATAACAAGTCGTAAAGTGCAAAAGGATGTATTATGTTTTGCTGTACTGTTCGCAATGTTGCCAGATTCTGTCTCTGCCGCTTTCGCCTTTGCGCGGGGGAAGCGGCGGTCGAGTGATTTCGGAACGCGCGACCAGCGCCGTTTTCCGGCAACAATCTCCGCGAGTTCGACAGACGCCGCGGCAGCCTGACAGTCGCGAGCATTCCTAGAACGCGAGGGGATGAAAGGCCGCTCGACCGTCGTATGTCACAACATGTGGGCTCGCCGGAAACTCGGCGACGATCAGCATCCACATGCGATAAAAACGCGCGCGCTCTCGCGCGGATAATGATTCTTAACATTATTCACAGCTATCACGTCTTTTTCCCTTAACAAAACGATTCAACGATAACAACCAGAGTCTGGCAATTTTGCTGCTGTCGTTTCGGGCTTTGCGAAACACACATTGAAGATCGTTCGTCGTCAACATGACGCTACCGCGCGTCCTTGACACGTACATTAATATTTACAAGTGTCGCGCTAGATAGAACTCTATCGTGTGTATTATATTATCTTACTATCCTTAAGGCTAGTTTTCTATTAACTTGCTGCACACACGTGACGTGGTCCATGTGACATGTGAAGACACTGGGTGGTCAGTCGCTGTCCGAGCCCACTGGGTTAATCTTTTTTCTTTTCTTCGCTTGCTTTGGATTCACGATCTCCTCCTCCTGCAAGTATCCAAAGGAACGGTGACTTTATTATATTGCAGTATACTTCTTTAGTCGGACCGTTCGATTCGTAGTTGTCAATTATCCTGCGATCTTTGATCGAGAGCACAATTAATCGCAAGATTAATACGCGCGATGAGTCGACACACTAGCTTTAATTCCGCGTAACCTTTTCAGCACACGGCACCGTGAGAACGCCGCCAGCTATAGCAGCTGCCGAGCTGCTCGAACGTTTTTTTTTTTTCTATTGTACTCTGGAATCTCCGCACGACAGAGATAAAACATATTTTGACAACGCATTCAACGGCTCGTCGTGCGCACGCGCGCGCGCGCGAGCACATTCAAATGACTACCTGAGTGGCCGTGCATTGACAGAAAGTATCAACGTATCAAACTACATCCTTCAAACTATACAGAACATTAATACAAAAAGCTCTCTAAAATGTCTTTAGAAATGTCTGCTTATAGATCGTATTTAGTTCTTTCAACTTTAATATGTGTTTCTCTTTCTCAAACAAGTACAAAGATTAGGGGAACAATCAGATTCATAGAGTCGCGATCGCGGTTTGTCGCAACAACAATGGACCATGAATGGACCAGAGCTTTGCTGCTTACCTCGCTGCTAGAGGTGGTGTCAACGTGATACCGCGGGAGCGGTCTCTTCGCGTTCGACCTTTCTCTCGTATTAGCGCCAGTCTTCCTGTGGCCACCTTTACCGCCAGCCCCTCCGCCGGAGGAAGCTGTGGCGTGCTTCCTCGCGGAGCTGCTGGCCGGTGGTGGAGGTGGTTCGTTTTCCTCGTTGACTTCGGCGAGTGCAAACAGGTCGCCGTAACTCTTCCTCAACGAGTCGCTGCTCGCAGCCTGCGCTTGTTGCAGCGCACGCTGCATGCCCTCCGAATGGTAGAGCTGCAACTCCGACGAAGAGGAGCAGTGTTGGCGCAATTGGTCCAAGTGGCCGAGCACTTGCTCTCCGGTAGGCGGACCGGACTGCTGATTCTGCTTGCCGCCGGAACGTTTTCGTTTGTTGGGACTAGTTGCGGGGTAGCGAGTGCTGAGAAGATTCGCCAGCAACTCGCCGAGCTTCTCCTCGTAATCGCGACACCAGTATCGCAGCACGGCCACGACGAACATGTCGCCGTCTACACTTTGCCGAGCGAGCAGTTGTCGCAAGAGGTCCGGTGTCGGTCTGTGAAAATGAACGAGACGAAGGGTTACACGTTGAATTCGTGCGAGTGTGATGTTCGGCTGAGCTCAAAAGTCCGGTTTCCCGTCTTCCCGTCGATGCTAGGCTACTTTGCACACGGTAGAGTACGAAAACGTTGGCGAAGGGTCAATGGTCACGAAGACACGGTGACCGCTCTCGATCAACCAACGATTCCTTCTTCTCCACCGAAGCGGACTTTTCGACTGAGCCGAGAGACTGCGCGGGATCGCGCCTGTGCGCGCACTCACTTCTCTTGCTTCAGCATGAACAAGATCGACGTAAGCGCTTCCGCATGATTGCGAAACTGCAGCTTTGGCAGCACCGGCAGTACATAATCGATGGGGAAGTCGTGCGCGAATATGAGCTGCCAAAAGCAGTACTGCTCGAAGGTGTCCCAGTTGAGGCTAGCCGTCAACAGAGATGTGAACGACTCTTTCTTCAACATCTTTAGGTGACCCTGCATTATTTGGCAGATCAGATCCTGCAACTGGCACGAGTCCACAGTGGAAACTACTAGATGCAGCAGCTGTGCGTTCCCGACAGCGACGTTTTGAAATCCTGTGTACACGTCCGGCAGGAGATAGCACAGCATGAATATGTTATCCTCGTGACAGAGCTGCGGAGATAAATTATGTATCCATGAGTTGTTCACAAGCACGTCGCGTGTATCTGTCTCATTTATTCCGGTAGAAGAGAAACAAACACAAAAAAAAAGAAACGAAAAAAGAAGGAAACGGCGAAGCGGAATTGCGCGTACCTTAAGATCTGACACCAGACACACGTCCAGCTTTTTTTCTCTCTGCGCGCAAAAGTCCTTGTACACCGACGCCTTGACGTCGTTCAACACGTTGCTGAAATCAAACGACGTAAGGCTCGAGTTACGCTTTCTCCCTCGTATTTTCTCACTTTGGTATCTCGTGTTTTTGCCTAGGACCAACCTCGGCTCGCCTTCCCGCTTCTCTTCCTCCCTGCCCCAGACCTTGAGGAAATAAAGCAGAAGGTAGCCTATTCTCGGTTGAAGCGACTGCATCTCCGCCAACACTCTGGCCAAGAGCTTGCGCCGGTTATCCTCTTCCTTACACAATTGAAATTGATTTCGAAACATGACAAACAGCGGCGTGCTTATGCTATCAGTTAGCGTTTCCTCATTCAGATTGTCTGGAAAGATCTGCGTCGTGATCTGCGACGAGAGGATACTCGACAAGCAGGACGCAAGCGCAGGTATCGTCTCTGCGTCAATTTCGTCCTCTACGACCATTTGTACTATCCTCTCCATCGCTTGGCACTTCGCCTCATTGTCCGTTTCTGTGTGCATAATCTCGATGCTGGTTTTCAATTCTTCCGGTTCCAATATGAGATTTAATTGCGACACTATGTCCTCTTTCTTCATCACGCAGTTCGCGTTCTTTTGCTCGTTTTTCAATTTCACCGTGGATAACGGCACGTCCTCCTCGTCCTCTTCCTCCTCCACTTTCGTCACTATTCTGAAATATCGGGAAATTCGGTCGGGTTAATTTTGTCACATCGGTTCTCCGGAACACAGAACTGTGTGTGTGTGTGTGAGAGAGAGAGAGAGAGAGAGAGAGAGAGAGAGAGAGAGAGAGAGAGAGAGAGAGAGAGGAGAGAGAGAGAGAGAGAGAGAGAGAGAGAGAGAGAGAGAGAGAGAGAGAGAGAGAGAGAGAGGAGAGAGAGAGAGAGAGAGCGCTGATAAACGCGAAAAACGTAACGGGCAAACAACCTTAGAGGAGACTCCTCCTCTTCGTCACTGAACGCTGGCTCCGGATCTTGCGTCACGTGATTATTCTCCACGGTGGAATTTGCGATGTTCTCTATCACGGCGGTTGGATTGTGTTCCTTGTTGAGCTCTTCCATTTTACCTGAATATATCGGAACCTTATTACCTGCTCAAAAGAAGGATGCAAAAAAACCAAAGTTAGTAAGCGATGTGCTGAAAGCTGAAAAGAGGTGAATCGTTATATTTGTAACGGAAAATGTAATTTTCGGAAAAAGTTAAGTCTCTCTCAATTTTTTTTTTTCTTTTTTCTTTTTTTGCCAATTCATGATAAAGCGTATACGCTGCTAACAACGTTACGATTCTTCACGAGTGCTGTTTTGTTTGCACGATAAGCGATGCTTGTGATGATAGAGGAAGCATTAACATTTTGCTTATCCTGTGCAGTAAATACTTTAATGTGCATAGCGGACATGTCGTACTTATGCAGCAAGCGTGATTGCGTGAACAGGGGGGTGAGAGAGAGAGAGAGAGAGAGAGAGAGAGAGAGAGAGAGAGAGAGAGAGAGAGAGGGGGGGGGGAAGAGAAAAAAGACAGAAGGAATACATGCGGTTACAATGACTTTACCAGGATCCGCATTCGGTGGCAGACAAAACTCTTTGAACGTCTCCCGTATTTTGCTTCTCAGTTCCCGATCGAGTTTCGGGCTATCGAATAACGGATACAGGCTAGGCAAGACGCGTTTTTCTAAAATTTGTCGCAGCGATGAAAATATCCCGTTTCTCACTTTGTCCGTTAGCGGAGGATAAAAGTTCGGTATTATCTGCAAGTAGATCGTATACGTCAGAAATGTAGTGGCATTTCGCGACTCGTGTGTGTGTATGTGTGTGTGTGTGTGTGTGTGTGCGCGCGCGCGCGCGCGCGCGCATATATGTGTGTTTCGCGACGATTCCACAATCTCGTACGGAAGAAACAAGTGAGATATTCCGATGCAACGTACCCTGCATAAAAAATCTAGAAGTGTGGCAGTGACGGGTGGATGAGACCTCATCGAGTTGTGCATAACAAGGATCGCCGGCTCGATGTTCATGATGTTGTCTTTGTCAGGCTCGAAGAACAGCCAGTCGTAGAATAGGGCTAATTTTGCATTACTAGCTGCTACGGTAGAGGTGCACGTGGTGAAGAGCCAACCAATCACCGCCCATCGTGGTATGATGTCGGAACAGAGGAGCTCGTTCGTCGGATGTATGACTCCAACGATGAACCGAATGAGATCACATCGTAACGATTGAGATTCGGGCGTAGCCAGGTACTGCCTTTGAAACCAATCCTGGTAGCGTTTGTGATTGCCGAAACGGACTTGACTCGTTAGAAACACGAGCTTCCTTTCCATGTCGGGGGTCAACCTTGATTGCAGGAACCTACGGGAGGTTCTCGTCTGCAGAAGCTGAAGCACCCCATTGAAATTCGAACAGAGACACTTTGAGTTTTGTAGAATGTCCTTCCACAACGCCTCGAACTCGGATATTCGCGCCACATTTTGCAACAGACGCACAAAGTCTCTAAAAGGAAAGAAGGTACATTTGATTAGCTCATCTAACGTTCATCTAAGGTTATCTAGGTCTCACAATGCTGCAATAATGTATACCTTCCGATGGCCAAGCAATCTACCATACGCTCCCTTATCAGAGTCACAGTAAAGCTCACTTCCTTCTGTCGCAAACCAGCCAGATGGGACGCGTTGTGGTCTTCTATTAACCGCAAATACGTGTACACAACCGACGCAACTACAAACGGGAATTTGTCCAGCCACGAGCGATTCTCTTGAAAAATATCTAAGAGGGCGTCAACTAGGTACAAGTTCTTAGGTGAGATATCCCCACCCGCTGCGTGCCTTAATAAAGTTAAACAAAGAGTATCCACATTGGTTACACTAGTCCTTATCATTTCCCGCAGTAACCACAACACCTGACTCCTGGTGATATCATTCAACCTCAAGTATCTCTCGAGTACTAACTGATTGAGATGGATCAGCACAATACTGAGTCCATCTCGCGTGATCAGTGTCAAGTCCCTGTAACTCTTCGCAGCATTCTGCGGATCGGTCAAGATCACCACTAGTAAGCCTAAGGAGACCTCCTCGTGTGTCTTGTCCTTGCACACTGCATTGTTCAGCGTGTCGTGGGCCTCCTTCTCCGAGAGTCCCGTGGTCAAATTTTGCAGTACAGTGTAGCATCTCTCAAACTTCTGAAAAAGTACATTTTATCACTTAATACACATAATAAGCTTCATTGAGAAGAATGAGGAAAGAAAAAAAGAAATTGAAAAAATGGTTGAATTAAAATAAAATTACTAACTTATTGGAAAAATAAAAAAAATTATTGGAATAAACTACACTAAAATAAAAAGCGAAAAATAGCCGAATAAAAAAAACTATTCGTTTTTTATTTGTTCGCTATTTCCGTTTGCAATTTTCGTTCAACGAAAAGAAAAAAAACTTTTCTGAAGTTCGAGGACTAGAAAATTGGAAAACAGTCAGGTATAGATCACATGTCACCGAGTGTGCGACGCGTGATCTCTCGCGAGACGTTGACGTCGTACACAACAAAATTTCTTCTTCCGTGTCCACATGCTGCAGGTTCATCTTATTACATTTTCGTAAACAGAAAAATACCAAATGGGCCCGCCTCTCCCAACATCTGACAGTAGAGAGAGGCTGCCCGGAATAAACTCTGGCAGCGAACGTGTTAAACGTTCCAAGTGGATTCGCAGCGCTCACTAACACGAAATATGCGAAGAACGCGCAATAAAAGGAGCAAGGTGGGAAGAACGTGCGCTTGAAAGAAGACTGTCGGCCAGGTGTGTGTGCCTGACAGGACGCGCGTTCCGGCACGTTTGAATTTACCGCGGTCGTGCGCGTATTCGCATGTAGCGCCACGCAATCAACGTCGTGCGCGACCGTCGCAACAATGGCGGAGGCCCTCGCACCCGATACGTATCCAGTGACTATTTCAAATATTTATGTTACCTCCTCCAGGTCGTCCTTGTTCTCGATGCAGGTCGTGTTGAGTAGCCGTGACGCGAGAGTCTTCGGCTGCTCCATCGCTCGCTGGCTGCGCCACAGCCGGCTCGTGAACGCTATACAAGGCTCGGTCGAGCCCTCAGCCCTCAGCCCTGTGCCCCTGGCCGCTTGTGCTCGCCTCCGTGCATCGTGATGTCTCGCTGGCCTGCTCGTTCGCTCTATCTCTTTCTCCCTCCTACCCTCTCTCTCGCACGTCCCGTTCGCACCGTCCGTCTCGCTCGCGCTCGCTCACTCCCTCTTTCTCGCTCTCTCCCACTCCGTCAACCCGCTCTCCTTCTCTCTCCCTCTCCCTCTCTCTCTCTCTCTCTCTCTCTCTCTATCTCTGTCTCTCTCTCGCTCGCTCGCTCGCTCGCTCAGCCGCTTCCCGCTCCCTCTGCCGCTCGCGCCTCGTCGCCGTCTGTGCTGCGCGCGGACTATCCACTCTGTTTATTCCTCGCCTCGCCGCGAAACTCCCTAACTCCGTGTACCGTTCCGATGCGATTGCGCATTGATACAACCGCCCAGTCGTCGAGAGGGCCTCGTTTCGTGACGCGGTGCCCCCACCCGGAGATCGTCGTCGTGGCCAATCGACGCTCGCTAGCCCGTACATTCGATACACCCGGTGGGGATGCAGCAGAAAAGTAGTGCGCTCATCGCGCAGGGCCGTAGCGGCGAGGGGCGCCTCGAGGTACGCGAACGTTCGGGCGAATTTAACGACCGCTGAGAATCACATGGGCTCAGGTCGCGGTCGGGACGCGTGACACGTGACACGCCACGGACGTCTCCAATTGGCTCCGCGACATTCGATAAGTGATGGTCCGTCGGGTGGGGGTTTTTCGTTTCTATCCTTCTTATTTTATGCACTGTCTCTAATTGCGTTGCAAAATAATTCATTCAAATCATACGTCGCGTTTTGCACACATTATCATCTCCTTTGCAATTTGAGCGACCGTGCTTCGCGCGCGCGCGTGTTAAATCCTATCTCACCGCGCATGATCGCTGCGAGCGCTTCTACGGCGTTTCCACGGCGCCGTACGATCGGAACGAACGGAACGGGAACCGCGAGAGACACCGAGGAGAGTTTTTAACGTCTTCCTAAGAGAACCCGTAGAGGTCTTGCGCCCCCCGTGTGCGACGCTTTTTCTCCTTTTCTCCCTCTTTCCCTCTCTCTCTCTCTCTCTCTCTCTCTCTCTTTCCTCCTCTTGCGCGCGCGTGCGCGCAAGTTTTTCGCTCTAAGAATTTTTTACCGACTAATCCGTCGCCGGACGGACAATGGAGCGAATAACGGAAAGTGTCTTCATGGTGGATTACATTTCACCTCTTTGCCCGCGTTACGGCGCGGCCAAGCTTTGTGCAATTACTGCGAAGCGTATACAGCGAGTACGTGAACTTCGTCCTTCGTTCGCCACGCGTTATTAATAAGTATGTTGTGATGAGAAGCGCGCTACGTGCGCGCAGGAACTCTCGCGGTTGCTGACATAGCCGCGCGCGGTTAAGAACTCTGTACGCGTTGAACATGAGGGCGAACAGTCGGGAAATTATGAAAAGCGCGGTCGGTCGGTCTCGCTGTTGCGCGGAATGCGTCAAAAATCGCACGCTAATCTAGCGGTCGTGCTTCCCCCTTCCCGCCGCTTTTTACCGCCCTGCGGTAAAACCGCAGGAAGAAAAGCAAGTGGGATTCTCGCAGGTCCAATCTCGAGCGATTTAATCAAACTCCAACGCAATGAGGAAGAGAGAAAGGTACGATTCTTCGACGGACGGTACGTCGTCGCTCAACATGCGACGTCAGCCCGGACTGCAACCGCCAAATGACAAACAACCCCGCGATGCACTTCATCCCGTCACGTAACGTTTATTCGCGCATAATTCCCGCCGAGAAACATCGGGTCGAAAAAGCCGAAAAATTCTCGCAGCTGCGAGTCACCCCACTTTCGCGCCACCTCGTGAAGCCGGCCGTGCCGCGTGCGCGTCGCGCATGCGCGCGCGCACGCGCCGCGCGGCGGTGCCGTGCAGTGAGACCAGACGTCTCTAATCGCATTGGGCGTCTCGGACGCGTTCCTTCGGTCTCGTTTGGTGAGCGTTTCCGTGGCGGCGGCGGCGGCGGCGGCGGCGTGACGCGACGCGACGCTACGCTACGCTACGCGACGCGACGCAACGCGACGCGACACGACGCGACACGACACGACGCTTCGACGGGCTTCCGGCCCGTGCAACACGAGGCCTCGGTTCCCCAACTGCGAGCCCGCGCCAGGCGGACCTCGATCCCGTCGAAGAGCCGAGGACCGACAGGAACGACGGAAGCACGCACGGCGATCGAGAAAGAGAAAGAGAGCCGTCGTGCGGACCGAGTGCGTCGCTCAGCGCTCGCACAAACGTCTGCTTGCTCATCAGGTTCCCGAGAAAGCGACCCGCAGAGGCGGCGGCAGAATGAACGAACCGTGCTCCTCGGTCACGGCGTCGAACATCGAAAATCCGCGTCTCCTTGCTTCTTGTTCTTCGCGAGGGTAACTCGGCCGCGTGCTCGGATGCGTGCTCTCCCCGGAAACGCCTCGTTTGTAAAAGAACTCGTCGCCATTTTTCGCGTCGACGAGCGGTGTAACGTCGGCGCGTTACGTCGGTGCGGGGCCACGCGTGCCTTTACATAATGGCCACGTCCACGCGTGATCGTCGTTCTCCTCTCTCACCATCGAGAGAATACAAAGCCGCGAGAGTGAGCGCGCACACACACACACGGCCCGGACATGTTCCGTTCTCGCAGTGGGTTCCTTTGTCGCCTCGCTCCGCGAGCGTTCGTGCTCGCCTTTTCTCTGCTCGCCTTCTCTGCTCTCGTCTGTGGCCGCCCCGAGGACGTGATGTAACTCCACCGCTGATGACGGAGTCACGTACGCACGTCGTCGTCGCGACACGACGGCTGCGTGAGAGGAGAAATGTGGACGAGCGCGTCGTCGAGCGACGTCTCGGAGCAGCGAGAAAACGCGGAGTCGTGCGCAACCTTCCGACGGTTTTCTCTTTCTCGCCGTGTGGGCCTTGCCTTCTCTTTCTCTCGTTCCGCCCGTCGGCGCGAGTCCGACGCGGCCGTCGTCGCCGACGAGTGATCGTTGCCTCATGACGATGGAAAACGCAAAGTCAAAGGTTCGATCCGCCGCTGCCAGCTCCGACGTTCACGCTTTTTCTCTCGCGCATTTCGCCTCTTTACTCGCGTCGCTGCTTCGTTCCTAGTCATCGCGTGATCGAGACGTTCCGCGATCATGACGTTCGTTCGCGTAATCCGCCGCGAGCAACGATGGCCGATTCGCTCGTATAAAGAAGTATCTCTCTCTCTCTCTCTCTCTCTCTCTCCATCTATCTATCTCTCTTTCTTTCTCCGCGAAATCTTTATTACGAGCTCGCGGCGCGTCAACCTCGAAGTTCCGCAGCTCCGAGAGAAATGACCGGCCAGGCTGAGTCGTAGTACGCCTACCGCGAGAACGTCAATGAAACGCATGCGCGTTCAGCAGCCGTGAGTAATCTGCCGTCAGGATCGTACGCGGGATGGAAAAGGAAGGAGGACGTACGCTGGACGTACCCAAAAATGTAGAAAGCGCTCTCGCGCAAGCGACGATCCTGCGAGAGACGAGTTACATCCATTTCATCCCACTGTAATGGAAAGTGCATTCCTCCACTTGCCGGAGATACCTTGCGGAATTATCTCCGGACAGGAGAAATAAATTAATATCGACCAAGGTGGAAAACGAGGACCAACTACGTCCGTTAAATTACTCCAGCTGATAACTCGTCCTGTGTGGTTACGTCTGCCTTCTACCCTCTCTTTGACATTATTTGCGCTCAGCGACGAGAATTCGAGGATTTCGAAAGCGACCGGCGAGACGTCGAACGCGCTCCTCGAAAACCGCTTCGTAGATCTCGTCGCGCGGCTCTCCTCTTCTCTCACCTCCCCGTCGCGCGCCGTCTACGCGTATCCTTTTGCTTTCCTCTTTTGCTGTAACGACGAGCCGGAAGCGAGACGAGTTTCGAAAAACGGAGACGGATGGGAGTTACCAGTTTGGAAAATCGGGTTGTTAACGCATACAATTTACATATATACGCATAAAAATCATATCGAGATAAATCGCACGTTTGACTTGTTAATTTCCTCTTTATTGAATAATCATGCGACGTCGCGAGCGGAGCTCGCGCGATTCACAGTTGGCGGGGATACGAGTGTGTGTGTATGTATGTGTTTGTGTGTGTGTGTGTGTGTGTGTGTGTGTGTGTGTGTGTGGCGATTAATAATCGGTATATTCGAATCGTGAATAAGTAATCGATAAACTGTCAACTCACAAACTATAGTAATAAGAGTAGAGTCTTAGTTCCCGCGAGAGCTCGACGGGGACGGGACGAAAGCCTCCCGCGATATCGAAGACTTGATTCAATACATTAATATTTTAATCGAGATCCTACGGCGCGATGCGCTAGGCGCACCTTCGATATACCTATATACCGCGTACAGTGCAAAAAGGTGTAGAGAAAGTGCGTCATTTTATTTCTTAAATGCTAAACCCGACACACGAGCGTGTACTTCGTTGTATGAGAATCACAAGGACGAGTGCGAATCTTTAAAGACGACGTTTCTCGCCGGGTTTTATCTATCAAGTGAGTCGTAAGGAATGCGAGTGTCAAACACGATATTCCTGCTAATCCCGCTGAACCTGCGGATAATCTTAGGAAAAAAATATCTTCGCACACTGTACTCGTGACTCGCGCGATAATCGAACTTTCTATCCGCCGCGTGTACGCGATTGTTAACGAGCTTGCGTTTCTCGCTTCGAGAGTTTCGACGACGCGCGATTGCTGTTACTGGCTCGCTCATCGAATCTGGAAATCTTGCAATCTCCGCGAGAACCAAGACGGCACGCTGTGAATTTCCATTGGCGGCGATTTTACTCGCTTGTTTTAAAGGCCGCGTTAACTCGCTGAAAAAAGATCGTAATTTCATTCGCGAAGAGAATTCATTTTCGAGAGGAGGAGGCTTGAAGCTCTCAAACTGCCTCGAGCCGATTAAGATCGAGTTAAAGAAAAAATTAACAAGAAAAAAGAAAGGTTCTCCCTGCAAGCTCTTTTTTGCCAATTTTTCGCGCCACTTCATGGGGGAAGCTCAACGAAGCTTTCGAAAGCGCGAAGCTTCCAGCTTTAAAGTGTTCCCATCTTCTTCGTGGATCGTTTTCTCGCCAAGTGTCATGTGCCATCGTCAATGTCCCGTCGATCCTCCGATCGATTCGATGCGAGCCTTCGATCGAATTTTATCCAGAGACGAATATTCGTCTCAAGGAGACTTTTCTGCTCCTCCGCGATAATCGAATGCAACGTGTACTATATGCGAAGTGACGGAGGGAGTATTTAGAGGCTCTTTCTGGAAGGAAGAGAGAGAGAGAGAGAGAGATAACAGTAGTAACGTTCGATGAGAGACAATGACGCGATTCACAGCCAGACGTTCGTCACGTGTTATTTTTATGCACCTGGCTGACGAAACGCTTACTGAATCTCCCGATCCGACGTGCTCGAGCACGCGCACCGACAGATCATCGAGATGCACTACGATTTCCCTTTGCGGAATCGCTGCCTCGCTTGGGCCTTGCTATACTTGGGGTGCTTCTCCTTCTCGTTGCTTCTCTCCGTGTCGATATTCTCGTAGTCCTCCTTCTCCTCGGGGAAAAGATCGACGGGCGGCTCCAGTAGGTTCCTTCTTTGGCATTTCACGAAGTAGCGAAACCCTTTCGCGATGCCAAAGCCGAGCATGGATATGGACATCGTCAGTAGCGCCATTAGCAAAGGATGCTGCGTGAGAAGAATATGACGTTATATTATTATTACGGTGCATTACGACGAGGAAGTATCCTAATTTCCATCGTTATTACCGCGTCCCGACAATCCCAAGATATGAAACATAAATCACTGTACCGTTAGAGTGGGCTTGTTTGTGAAGACGTAATCGGCGATCACAACTATGACTCCCAGGATAATACCGACGCCGGCTCCAAGCCACGGGATCTGCTGGTCAGCTGTGAAACAGTATACACTCATTATGTCCTGATTTATGTAATTCACTAATGAATACGTTGCGAATTACTACCGCTTGATGATACCTCTTTTGTCTTTAATCAGTGATTTGGACGCTTTGTTCATAGCCTCTAGGATCCTAGATTCGCTTGGCTGCAGGGAGAGGGCTTTGTTGTAAGACTGAAGTGCATCGTTGAAGCGGAATGTTCTCAGTTCAACCTCGCCTTTCCTAAAGTAGCCCTGAAACAAATTGGTACACCTATATAGCAACGTGTCTATCTTACACCTTAGAGGTTACATTTTAAGATTCAATAATGACACTTTGTACACACACACACACTTGTCTTCTTGTGTATAATTTACACGATAATATGGGTGTCAAATACCTTAGACCAGTCAGGCTTCAACTGAATAGTCATCAGGGCATCCTCCATGGCATAGTGGTACTGTCTCATCATTAAGAAAGCAAAGGATCTGTTGCTGTAGAGGGAATAGTTCTGTGGATCCAGCTTGATCGCATGTGTGTAATGAAACATCGCCTTCTCATACTTCTGCTCTTTCACGCAGGCATTTCCCTGCTGCTTAAGATTGTCCACCTAGAGCAAAGAGAAACGTTCCATGAGTTAGTTTCACGTCACACGGTGCAAGGAAAGGTTTCAACATTGGAGGTTAATGACAGACCTGCATATTTTCTCGACAATTCAATTAACACGAGGTATATTATATAAGCAGTGGGCAATCTCTCTCTTTCTCACTCTCTCTCTCTCTCTCTCTCTCTCTCTCTCTCTCTCTCTCGGAATGTTATCTATCTCTAATTCAACACTGATAAACACAAGTGCAAACATCTCGATAAGCTCACCTCCGCCTCCCGGGCGTTCATAGTTCTCGCTCTCCGAGGCAGGGACGTCTGAGGAAAATCGTGCTCGCTTTTATTCCTCGCGGGAGGGAACTGCGGCGGTCCGGCTGCTCATTCTCGTCTAAATCACCGTGGCGATGTCCCTTCGATTAGACATCGATTAGAATCGCCGATCAGAAGCAGACGAACACCACCTGTCATGTCCACTGACCGGTGGGTGCATGCGCGCGTACGTTGACATGCAATCAGAGATGGGCGATGTTCGGCCGACGAACAGATGACATTCGCGGTTCTCTCGTATCTTTCGTTTGTCTCTCCTTGACGAACAGAGCCGTTCATTCTCGGTTCATTATATAACCGTGCGGAATCTACTCGATGCTAAGAGGCGCTCCGCCTCGTTACGTGCGCCGCAAAAATTTAAAACCGCCACCGTACATTCGGTGCTATCTTTGAGATTCGCACCAATCCCTCGATGTCCCAAGTAGAGCTCCACTTGGAGTTTTCAACAAAGATTGCAAATCGGAGGCGTATATATATTTTACATATGTATGCATACACACATATGCAATCGTTAAAAACAATATTTCTTCTTGGTTACAAGAAATGAGTAAAATTCAAACAACGAGTAACTTTGGTAAGAATAACGGCAATAAAGTAGTTCAAGGAGCATTTTGCTAGACTTAAATGTCTAGTTTTGAGATATATTTATAAACGTAAAGTTTCCTTGTTTTTCTTACGGCGCTACGCGAATATAAGTCGAGATCAGTAAAATGCCGAAATCCCGGACAGAACAGAAAATCATGATGACGTCAAGATGATGAGGAAAAAATTCTTTTTCTCATTATGATTCGGCCATTTTCCTGTTATTTTGATGTCATCATGATCTTTTTTGTTCTACTTGGGACACTGGACCAAGTTTGGTCAAGTATATCGTACAAATAAAAGATCATATATAAATGACAATTACATTACTTGAACGCGGATCTTTCCCTTTAATTTGCACGACAGCAAATTGCAGTGCGACTCTTTTTTATCATGTTGTTAAATGTTGAAGCAGAAATGGTACTTTGAATTTGATTATTTTGTGGTGCGGGCGAACGAATTAAAGTATGAAATTTGGGTGAGCAATGAATAAAACGTTTAAGTTTCCTTTTCCGAAGTATATATGTCATATTTTCTATTGAAATTATTTGTCGATGTGAATACTTAATTGAAAGATGAGGTTACATATTCGATAGTAGTAATTTCTAAAGCCGGCGGCACACGGTGCTTATTTTCGTGCTGGATTGTTTGCTGGATGAAAATACTGCTGGTTCTGATTGGTGCATTTTCGAAGATGGATGGAAATGCACCAATCAGAACGCACTCTTTTCATCCAGCGAGCAATCTAGGGCAGCGATCATGAATCTTTTCGCCCTAGCGTGAAATAATGAAAAGTGAGACTTCGGTGAATTATAGCGACTTATATAGCGGAGGAACTTTGGGACTATAAAACAAACGTTACAGTGTCTGGATTCAAACCATATTTATCCAAGACTCGAAGTCCTCTAATGACGAATTTCCACTCGATACCGCTAGGTGGCGCCAAGAGACCCGATAAATGTCGAGTATTTTTAACGGGTTAGATAGGCTTTGTACCTAAACCCAGTACAACCTTTATTTCAATAAAAAAAAAAAAAAAAGTATTTTTAACATGGCGATTATTAAGCGAAGCGAATTTAACGAGGCGTTCAAACTGGTCGCATATAACCGAAAACACATCTATTGATCTTTGGATGAGCAAAGTTCGGAATCGCGTAGATATAGGCGTATATCTACTTTAGCTCCTGTCTCCAATGTAATTTCTGTCTGCGTATAATTTTTTTGTTTAAGCGGTACAGCAAACTTCTTGACTCAATACTTTAAGTCATTTGACTGATACTGATTTATGTTTGTGTACCATCAGTACCGTCAGTAATGAGCAAATTTTACATCTACAAATATATCTTGAAACTAGAGACGTAAGCTGTAAAATGCTGATTGAGCCGTACCTCATATTATCATTATTTCTTTTTATAAATACAGCTCATTGATTTTGCATATCTTCCGCAGTCGAGAAAAATGATTATTTAATCTCTGCACGTAATACATCTTACGTGTATCAGACTTTACAAACAGTCTCCTCTCGTGTGTATTGTAACTTAAAATATTGTAAACTAGTTTTCAAAAAAATTAATAGCTTGATCGCTGCACTTACATAGAACGCAGCTATTATTCCAATAAACGGATCATTGGAATCAGCAGGGTGGAAGGGGGGTGAAGGCGAGAATCGTGAAGACAAAGATCCGACTCGTGCTTTTTTTCATTCTGGCTTTATAATGTCCGAAATTCTTCATTTCATACAAATTAAGTGAGGGAAGTTATAATACAAACTTAAGATATATACATCAATATTTCGTGAAACCGCTCAAGTAACTACGCAACTCATCCGTAAACCCCGCCAGATCATTCCTATCGCCTATCGTTAACCATCTTCCATCTCCTCCTTCTCCTCCTCACTCTTCTTTCTTTTTTTTTTATATGATTTTCTTTTGCCGCGTGAATCTATCTCGCGTACACTGTGCAACAAAACTTGGCAAGTCGTTCGAATAAATATACTTTTTTTTTCCCTTAATTAGTCGGAGTCGCCCGTTCGCGAATCGGAGAATCGGCAGCTCGAGGGCTCGCCGCGTTCCTCTCGCGACCTCGCCTCGCTCTTGGAAGTCACGAGAATCCGGAGAGATTGCGCCAAAAGTCACGTTCGGACGAGCTCTACGCGAACGTCGCCGTGTTGTTATGCCAGCGTGTTCTCGACGTCTATCTATTTAATTATTACGTTCACACGGAGTGTGCAGCACCCCCCCGCCCGCCGAACGAAAAATCACCCCTCTCTCCCGTTCTCTCTTTCTCTTTCTCTCTCTCTCTCTCTCTCTCTCTCTCTCTCTCTCTCTCTCTCTCCAACTCACTCGGAAGTTATACAATGCGGTGAAGATCGATTGTCGATTGACGAAAAATCGGAATCGAGTCGCCGACATTGAACGTAACTTTCATTTCGGTACAATTTTACGCGGGGGACAGCTTGCCACGCGAGGAGTCCTCGCGGAACCTTCTCTGGCGGCGGAAGAAGCGCCTCTCGGGGAGGGAGGGAGGGAGGGGGTCTCCCTTTCTCACGGCGGTGGTTCGCGACAAACACTCCGTGTCTCGCCTGCCTGGACCGACGACGCGACTCCTGCGAGAAAATGGACAGAGAATGCTGGGACGCTTACACGATTACAACAAGGAGGACAAGGACTACAAGGTCCTCGCGGTCGCGAGAAGCCTGACACACGCGGCGGCACTGATGCGCGCGCGCGCGGGACGGAAGTCACGGATGTGCCCTGGCATTTCCGACTCGCTCCACGAGAGCTCGTCCGAGGGAGCCGATTTGTTCCGCCGCGAACTTGACCGGTCGATTGATACGTCCGCTTCGGGGAACGAGGGGGTGTCTCTCTCTCTCTCTCTCTCTTACTCTCTCTCTCTCTCTCTCTCTCTCTCTCTCTCTCTCTCTCTCTCTCTCTCTCTCTCTCTCTCTCTCGTCTTTAAGTATGGGTCCCGCAAAGCGAACGTGTCAATTGGCGCGACGACGAGCGACGAGCTGATCAGTTCGCCGCAAGCGCGTTCGCAAAACTCGAGAACGCGCCGCGCGAGCGAGCGAGCGATCGGTCTCGTCTTCGTTCCCGCCTGTTCGAGGCGCCGAAAAACGGCAAAACTGATTGGCGAATCTCTCCGCGATCACATTCACCACGGACGACGCATCTGTCTCTCTCTCTCTCTCTCTCTCTCTCTCGCACGCGCGCGTGCGCGTGCGCGCGCGCCCTCAATCTACGTTTCCTCGAGACTTCTCAGCGCGCGACGACGGAACGCGATTACACGACAACAACGCACGGCGGACAGGAGGTCTCGAGCGAACGCAAAACTGGAAGATTAACAACGACGAGGCTTCAGCTCGCAAGGAAATTATGTACAAATTAAATTATGCGCGTTTTAACGGAGACGAGCCGTCTGCTTTTCTTCACTCTCTCATTCTCACCCTCTCTCTCTCTCTCTCTCTCTCTCTCTCTCTCTCTCTCTCTCTCTCTCTCTCTCTCTCTCGCTTCCAACGGAGAGCGCGCGTGCGCGCGCACACGATATACGACCGAAATGCGCGGCGCGTTCGACGCGAGCAATCGGGAAAATCCGCGCCGATTCTCCGCGCGCGCGCGCGCGCGATCTCTCTCTCTCTCGGTCCCAGTTTATGTACAGTACGCATCTTCCGCAAAGCCGCAAATCGCATTCTCTCGGTTTCTCAGTCGCCGCTGCGAGCCACTAGATTGACGTGAAGGCTCGCGCAAACGCGTATGTCATCTCTCTCACTCTTATCTCTCTCCCTCGCACTCGCCGTCGTCCTCGTCATCGAAACCGGCGCAAAGTATTGCCGATCGTCACAATTCACTTCTCTCTCTCTCTTTCTCTCTCTCTCTCTCTCTCTCTCTCTCTCTCTCACTCACTCTCTCTCATTAGCTCGCCCTTTCCGAATAAAAAACAGAAGCACGCGCACGGCTCATTCTCGGACAGAGAAGCTCGCGTGGAACGTGAAAGTGAGAGGAACGCTCTTTCGGCCGATCGTCTCGCCGAGAGACCGGCGGATACGAAGACCGGAAGTCACGACCTGCCGAACGATCTCGCGACCGAGCGCTTCCAGACGCGGCTCCGAGAGCGGCACGTCGGCGATCTCTCGATCGTCAATCGCGATCGACCCGTCAATTGCGATTCGGAGCCGATCACTCTAGAGAATGATCGATCGCCGATCGGTCGACTACTGGTCCATCTGCTCTCGATATAACAATTGATCCCATTGTCCACCGACGACGACGCGCGATCTCGTCATCGTCGTCGTCGTCGTCGTCGTCGTCTCGCCGAGGTACCGAGTGCTCGCGCGGATCGATCTCTATTGTTCTCCAGGGCCGCCCGGTACGATCGACTAAAGAGAAGACGAGAGGTTATATCCTACAACGGCCGCCTCGACGGAAGCGAGTCGCGCCTCACGAGGCGCCGCGACGATTGCACGTCCCGGTAGAAAATCGAAGATACACGATCGGAAGGCCGACGAAACACCGGCGGGAAGGCGCGAGACGAGGGGAGACGCGGTGCGGCGGAATCATGATTAACCCTCCAGCGGACGCGCGTACCGGCTTTTCATCCTCACCGTCCTCCCTCTCCCTCCTTCAACTTCCCTCTGCTACTCATCTTCCCAGGCATCCCTTTCGTCATCCACCCGCTGACGGCGTCTAGTCTAATTTGAAAGGCTGCTCAAAGTTACTTTTGGACGATCGATATGGTCCGAGACACAGGTATGTGTGTGTGTGTGTGTGT